CTTAAGTTAAGCTAATAATAAATAATAGAAGGCCTCATCTATGATCAACTCTAACCTTAAGTTAAGCTAATAATAAATAATAGAAGGCCTCGTCTATGATCAACTCCAACCTTAAGTTAAGCTAATAATAAATAATAGAAGGCCTCATCTATGATCAACTCTAACCTTAAGTTAAGCTAATAATAAATAATAGAAGGCCTCGTTTATAATCAACTCTAACCTTAAGTTAAGCTAATAATAAATAATAGAAGGCCTCGTCTATCATCAACCCTTACCTTAAGTTAAGCTAATAATAAATAATAGAAGGCCTCGTCTATCATCAACCCTTACCTTAAGTTAAGCTAATAATAAATAATAGAGGGCCTCGTCTATGATAAACTCTTACTTTAAGTTAAGCTAATAATAAATAATAGAAGGCCTCGTCTATGATCAACTCTAACCTTAAGCTAATAACAAATAATAGAAGGCCTCGTCTATTATCAACTCCTACCTTAAGCTAATAACAAATAATAGAAGGCCTCGTCTATGATCAAGTCTTACATTAAGTTAAGCTAATAATATATAATAGAAGGCCTCATCTATGATCAACTCTCACCTTAAATAATGTCTGATATCCCACATGTTCAAACGTGATAAAATAAAACATAATTTCATACAATTCTAGTAAATAACAAATATAAACATTTTATAAAAAACGTAAAACAAGTACACCAGAAACCCTAATATATATATAACCACAATAACTCAAACAACTATTGGTGTAAACTTGTTCTGTCGTCACTAAGAGAAAAAACCTATACACTGGATAGGTAACGCCTCATTGGCCATCACTGAGTTGTTCACATTATATAGCCTTACACAGCGGATATGATAAATAAACTAAGTATTCCAAAAACTCTTTAATCTCGAAATCTAAGTTCAAGGGAGGTCTAGTTCAATCTACACTTTGATCAACATGTTTTATTGGGTTATGCTAATTTCGGAGAATACCACTCCTCATCAGTAACCCTGTTAACAACAGGCTATATGTGCTGTGCCAATCACAGGTATCGAAACTCAGATTTTAGCGTTATGAGCCTTCAGACGTACTGCCGAGCCACTAGAGTGCTTTTACATAGCAATATTTTCAGTATTTGTGAGAATTCAGTAATTTTCCGGGAATTAAATAAAACCTTTGTTTAGTCCAGAAATATCTACATCATAAAGGTTCATTCCTCTTCTCGGAATGGACTGCTTATCACTTTCATAAAAGTACAGAGTACTCTTTTTCTTGAGATTCCTGGAAGAGTACATGAAATTGTTATTTTTCTATTCCAACCAGAAATATACAAAACTGATATTTTTTTAACTTCAATTATTTAGAGCGATTCTAGTCCAGTAATTCTGTTCTCGATAACTGTTACAGGTTCAAAATTAAAACGACCAATGAAAACCTAACTACAAAAATCGGTTAGAAAATTTGACTGCAGAGCCAACTACTTTGTTATTGATAACATTGGACTCTTCCTTTATACGACATTACATATCAGAAGATGACAAACTATCCCCGAGTCTAATTCTTTAGTTTTGCACAAAGATACTTGTGGGCTATCTACGTGGTGGACAAAGGGGAAGGCAGCTAATCAACACTATTCACGACAACTCTTTCCCTACGTAATGTAGGATTGACCGTCCCATTATCACTCCCACAGGACTGTGGGGCGAGCATTTTAATTGACGGGAGGCAGTCTTTATAAAAAGACGTCTTGGCCTTTTAGATCTTCATATTTTGTTTGAATAATCGTATTTTTAAAGCTCTTATTTGTTTATGTTACGTCTCCGTCTCGTTAATTAATTTTACGCAAATTCGTTCCGACGAAATTTTAACGACACAAGTCTTTACTTAATAAAACTGGTTGTAAAGTTATATTCGGAAAGAATCTGATACACTGAACTTCAACAATCGCGCTAAACAAACGAACGTCAATAATACTTCTGACTGCAGTTCAATTACTCACTGACTATCCACACATTACATTCCCCTCTTTTATATACCAGCGTACCCTATTTCTAGTAAGAACTTGAACATTCGCCAAAGTACATGATAGTTCTAGAAACGTTGCGTCACGGTGGTCATGTGACTCGCTGACGCAACACTATGCTTTTGTTTGGTGTATCAGCCGCTATCTGTGTGACCGATAAAGTCGATTTTTAAAGTAGAGCTATACCCTATTTGTGTCATTTTTATTCAATCTGTCAACTCAGAATGACGTGTATCCAAAGAAATTAAGATTATTTGATTTATAGAGCGTAGTTTATAAGGCACCCAAGGTCCCAAAGTACAGAGCGCGTATTTTTTGTTGTTGCAGAACGCTGGACGCGCAGGTCATTAGTTCGACATGATAATCACTTAGCCGAAAGATGAGCGAATAAGTATTAACTTGTTTAAATTTTAAAATAATAATTTAATGCAATATTATTTAAAACAGTTTACTGCAGTCACAAAGGCTAGAAGAAATATGTCTTTATTGCAAATTCCTGTGAGAGGGCAGTAAAATCGTTTGGACACGATATAAACTGAATGTTGCTATAATTTATAAAGTACAATTTAATATATCGAAGTTAAACTTTAGGTATTGTATAGTTTAGATCAGGTGAATGACAAAAAAATTTAAAATTGATAATAAAAATAGATCTAACACTAAATCCTGATTTTTGATTAATAGTAATAGTATTAATAGTGTTATTTAAAACTTGTACTGACATCAGATTAGCTAGTAGTAGTACTGCCTCTACCACGATACCGGTTGTAGAAGTTAGAAGTTCAAGTAGAATTTAATACTAGTAGTACACAACTTTTCGAAAATGTTTTAAGCCTGATTTTTCTAATAATAATATTAGATTAAAATCGCCTCTTCTTTAAGTTTAACAATAATATATCCTGTGAAATATATTATGACTTACATTACAGGAACCTCAGCTTCGAAACTCTCAATTAAATCAAGTTTTGACTTCTAAGTTTTAGTACTATTCTGTCTGTGAGTGTGAAGGCTAAACTATTTAAATAGTAAATTTTTGTACTGTATTAGGCATTAGTTTACTTTTGTAAAGTTCATTTAGCACTTGTTATCCTGTTTGTTAGTCTTGTATACTGTGGAAGTAATTAGTCTTTTAAATTAAAGTAGATTTAATTGAAGTTACATAGGCAGTGTTGGGATTTATCTGGAGGGAAGGGTTGTTACTGAAATCAGTAACACATATATATACCTAAACAAACTGTGAGTCAGTATCATTTCAATATTAGGTTCATGCCAGATTCAAGAAACATTAGCAAACAAAAGAAGTTATGAATATGAAGTTTAATTCCATATTAGCAAGTTTTTGCAGTACTTATTTTTTCAGTGACCATCAAAATGCAGTTGAGGTTAAAAAAAAAGGTGATTTGCACTTGATGCCCCCCTCCTACTTATTGATGCCTATGAATATACTCTTAACATTTAACTGTATACTTTTACTTAAAATTTACAATTTTAAGTTTTTCCTGACTGTGTGTGAACATATGGCATAATCTTCACACTAAATGTGGGACTTGGTTAGGGGTGGAATAAGAAGTTAGGAAAAGATTTTATAAACATAAACTTCATACTACCTAACTTCTTATTCCACCCTCTAACCAAGGCCCAAATTAAAAGATTTCATAAACTTAATTTGTAATATCTTCTTATTTTTGAAAACTCTTCTTTTTTTTTTCTTTTTCTCTAAATTCTTTAAGAGTTTCCAATAAAAGAATTGGGCCATTTGTTTGTTTTTTAACAGGTCAATGAAAAGAGATCACCTCTATTTTTTTACATATTAAGGGAAATAGGTTCAGAACTTTAACCTTTTCAAGCTTTGTTATTTAACCCAGCTATTATTCCCATAATCTGTTTGTACACTCTCAAATACATTGATATCTTTTCTACAGTAAGAAACAACAGCAAACATTTTCTAAATATAACTGTATATAATAATTAACAATAAACTGTACTTTGAATTTTTTAAATGAAGCTAATCCAGAAAATTTTAATTGCTACTTTGCAGGCACTAACAGTATAAAAAAAGCTACTTTATAAACATTAGTTATGGAGTTATCCATGTTGTTTTTTATGTACAACTTCATGAATGTTTGTTGTAGGTCAGATTTGTATACTTTAATCTACAGTGACTGTCTAAATGTTTGCTTTGGATGATAACCATGTTGTATTTATGTAGAGTGACTGTATAAATCTTTGTTGGGGGGGTCATATCCATGGTTAGTTTTTCTGTACAGATATTTTATATACCTTTGTTTGGGTGACATTCAGGTTTAGTTATTTGTATATGTAGATCATTTTTAAACCGTTGTTTGTCTCACATTCATATTTAGTTATTTTTATATATAGTTACTTTATAAACCTTTGTTGTGGTGACATTCATGTTTGGTTATTTTATGTACAGCTAACTTATAAACATTTATTAGGGCTTCATCCATGTTTAGTTATTTTTAATGCATTGCTACTTTAAAAACCATTGTTGGAGTGACATCCATGTTATTTTTTTGTACAACTACTTTATAAACCTTTTTAATTTCCCAATGACATTTTATTTGAGCCAGTTAAGTGTTTGTGAGCTGTTTTGAAAGATTCATGATAAGTAGGTTTAGTAATTTAAGACAGTACTGTTTATTTCAGAGTAATGTCATTGAATTAAAGAAAACTGTATAATTAAAACAAAGCCAATGGAAAATGAAAATAGAAACCAGTCTGTGTGTATTGTGGTTTTGGGAGACTTTGGAAGGAGTCCACGTATGCAGTATCATGCTTTATCTCTTGCCAACGAAGGCTACCATGTTGATGTAGTGGCATATGGAGGTAAGTTTAAGTGATTAACTTTTTATCTCTCTATAACAACATTTATAAAACTTTTTTCCTTTATTTATATGTTTTAAATGTAAGTTTTATGGGGTTTTTTTCTTGAATGAAAAGAAGTTATAAATTTGTATTTAAAATTTAAATTATTTTTTACAGGAAGTAAGCTTCATGAGGATATTCTTTCAAAGCAGAAGATTAGCCAACATTTAATGGCTGACCTACCAGACTTTGGAAGATGTACGTATGAATTATTGAACTATAGGTTTTTAAACTGTGAAATATAATAATTGGAAAAAAGTAACACACTGTATGTAAGTTTTATGGAGCATAACACACTCACCCCTGGAATTTTAAGAGGTATGTTTTGAACTAAAAGTAAAGATATCTGAGTAATTTGTGTTGTTCTGTGTTAATCTAAGCTACTTTTAATGGCTAACAATTGTAAAGCCCAGACCAGGACTTGAACCAAGGAATGCAGTGTGTGCTTTTATTTTTTCAAAATAAAAATAAAATTGAATTAATTTTTATAGAAAAACATTTTTGCACTTATTTTGTTTAAGGAAAAACATTTTGACATAAACACAATGTAAAAAATAATGTTTTAAATTGTTTTACTACCTACTATAGTTGAATGATAAGTGGTATTAGCTAATCAACTAAACAACGACCCTATTAATCAGTTCCATACATAGGAGAAAAAATAAATTGTCTGTGAATGCTGCCAGCCAGTTGCCTTCATTCTAGTCAGTAGCACAGAATTAGTGACAGTGATAGATAGCCTTAGTAGCTTTGCCATAACAGAGTGAGCAAGTCTGATGGCAATGGGAATCATACCAACTCACTAAAACTTTTCAAGACAAAAATTGGGTAGAGCACAAATAGCCCATTAACAACAAACAAACATAGGAATATTTCAATAGCTTGTTTTGGAAGCCTACACTCGAGACTGTTCTTACTTGTTTTTCCAGTCAGAGTAATAACTTTACAGAGAGGTTTATCTGATGATATTTTCTGTGCCTTTATTCTGAACTCTTATAGAATATTTCTAAGATAGTATAACAACATGAAAGCCTATATTAAAGTTGGTTTAAAAAAAATGAAGTTTCATTACTATTAGTATTTTACTAATTTTTATTTTTTGGATGTTGGGTGACCTTGATGAGCCAAATGGACTTCTGTCACTTTGTCCTTTCTTGTGTTCTGAGGTGTTGTTTAATACAGTGTAGTCACAAATAGAGCTGGGCAATTTAATCAACATAATTAATCACCCACGAGCAGCAACAACTTTGATTAGTGTCACAAATTAATTAATCAAAATTAGGGTTTCTGATTATTACTGTTTTCAGTCATTTCAACTATTCCTTAAACCTATTACACATATAAAGAAACAAAATAAGAACAGTTTTTGTGTATGCTTCTAAATAAACCTTAAACCTATTATACATACATGTAAACAGAACAATAGTTCCTATACGGTCTTGCCTCTTCTTACACAAAACTGTCTCAATCTTCTTTCTGCCCTCTAAGCATTGCTCAAAACTTTTTGCACTCAGCACATCAGTCTATATACCCCATCAATATCGCACCATTTTTGAACATGTACATAACATTTGACTACTCTCCATTAATAGTATTCTACCACCTATATTGGTACAGCTAGCTTTAACTTTATCTGTAGAGGAGGTACAGGCCTTAATTCGCAGGGAGTGAGATTCATATGTTTGGCCAGTGATTTCTTCTCCTTTTCAACCTAGTAATGTTGCTGAGGAAGAATATAATCAAGGAGAAGACAACTTGGACTATTTTTCTAACACCTTCTTATTTTGATCTGTCACACACTACACCTCTTCATGAAATTTTACCTTCCACAAACTTTTTTTTTTTACAGCTGGTTACTCAGGTCAACAGTCAATGTATATTCAGTTTTTTCCTGTATGTCTGAGATAAGGGTGATTTCACTAGTTGTCTTTTTTTTTGCTCCTGTTGCCATGCCTCCACGCTGTTCACTTTTTTTTAAGTTTATATAGCTCTCTGTCTTTCCTCCTATTGCCTCCAGATCTCCTAGTGGATCGGTAGTAAGTTGTACACTTTGCACCTGGTTGCGATACTCATGGTAAGTACGGCTAAGATGCTCTTGATGTGGCTTTGTCCTTTTTTACGTACGGGAGAATTAAGTACTTCAAGTCATTAGTGCTTGGTAAGTTAGATATTTATGTTTCCTTTGTCATCTAAGTTAAGCTAAAGTTATTGTAAGTTAGATATTGATTATTACTTTGTTTTCTAGGTAATTTTTATTGATTGAGATGTTCATTATTATTATGTACTTTCTAGATTATGTAAATGTTTGTGTTTTATCAGTTCTATATTAATGAGTACATTGTCAATTGGGTGTGTTTAGATATCATTCCTAGTTGTAACATCTAATTTCTTGTTCTATCTGAATAATTTGTTTTAAATCTTTATTAAATATGTGTCTTATAATCTTAATTTTCATCAGTGTAGGACCTACATTTTTTTAATTGCTACATTGCTTACCTGTTCATTTCTTTTTCCATTCTTAGGGTTGAGCTTTGCTTCAGCTACATTTCCTACGTTCTTGATATTAGAATCCAAATTTTTTCCTCGTACTCTACAAATCGGGTTCGTTCCCACAGTACCCACATCTTTGATAGTTATTTATAGCTTGAAGTGCTCCAGTTTAGGGCTTTACCATTTGGACTAACCTCGGCTCCTTATGTGTTTTGTCAGGTGGTATGAACTTTTGCCTGACGTCTTCACTTGATAAGAAGCAGCACGGGTGAGATTCCTGATAAAGGTAGAGAATTTCTTTCTTATCCCCCTCATTACCTTGTTCATTTGGGGGTTTTCTTCAAATCCAACCTCAGTCAGGCCCAGCCTTCGTCTTTGGGATATGAAGCAAGCATTCCACCAGGCCCTCACCTCACATTCTCTCACAGCTTGAGAGGTTCTATCTCTTTTGAGGATGTGGTCTTCTTTGGAAGCTCTCTTTCCCATGGATCAAGCTCATATGTATTCCCTTCAATGGTCACTCCTCAATCAGTGGTACTTCTACTTGGATCCTTTGGGTCACCATTTTACCCTTCCTTCCACAATCAGTGCTAGACAGGAACCAGACCACCTCCATCTTGTCTGAAGTTGCATCTTTTTCCAGACTCATGTTTAGAAGGTTGGGATGCTTACCTCAACACTCGGGAAATGTCCGGTCTCTTGTTGATCTAGGCATTTTCTCTCCATATCAACATTCTGAAACTTATAGCATTTCATTGAGCTTTGTTTCACTTTCTTCCTCTACTGTGGGGGAGGGTAGTTATGGTACACTCCGACAACTCCACAGTGGTCCCTTATATTACCAAACAAGGGGGTACCAAATCCATGTCTCTGTGCTTTGATACCCTGGATCTCCTTTTCTGAGTCCACAGTCACCACAGGGTGGTCTTAGCTTGCCATTTTCCTGGCACCTTGAATCTGGTTGTGGATCGTTTATCTTGACCCAACAAGATTCTCCCTAGGAAGTGGTCCCTCAATCCATAGGTCTTTTGGTGGGTGTGTTCTCAGCTGGGAACACCTCATCTCGATGCTTTCACCACTCACTGGAACACCAAACTTCCTTCCTTTTGGTCTTCCTGCTAGTTCTGAGATTGAAGAGATCATCACATCTGTGCTTATCATCCTATTTGACTTTTCTCCAGAGTTTTATCCTTAGTCCAAACCACTCGATGTCTGGTTTTACTTGTGGCTCTGTATTGGCTGGCACAACCATATTTCTTTTTGCTCTGACCTTTATTTGTACAACCTCCCCCTATCCTTACCTCTGTCTCTACTCCATCAATCTCAGTCAGACATTGTTCATCCAGATGTCACCACACCCCATCTTCATATATATGGTTTTTTTGCCAGGGTCATTGCCTCAACCCTGGAACTGACTCCACGTTTGCATCTTTCCTTTCCCAGTCCATGAGACCTTCTTCCATTTCCGTTTACCAATGGTGATAATCTATTTGGTCTATTTGATATGGTTTCTATCCTTCCTATATTTTCATTCCTCCTCTTTCCAAATTCTTCACTTGGTTGTGTGACAGAGACTTGTCTGCTGTGAGTGTGTCTAACTATCAGGTGGCCTTTTCAAACACCTTCTGTTTCTCCAAGTTTCGGAAAGTTTTGTCTTCCCCTGTCATTTCCCTCCTTTTCCACTCTTTTCAAGGCATACATCCTTGACGTTCCTTTTATTTGCCTGATTTGGATCGCAGTGTGATCCTTTATGCCTTTTGCTTATCCTCCCTTTGAACCTTTGTCTAAGTGTTCCATGTACCATCTCTCCTTCAAGACCTATTTCTTTCTCCTCCCTGCTTGCAGACATTGTTGTTCAAATATTTATGCCGTTAATTACCCACATCCTCTACCATTCCTCTTGAGTCATCCTATATCCCAACCAGTCTTTCCTCCCCAAAACCTATGCTGCACATGAAGGTGGTTTGGCTTTCACACCCATTTCCTTACCTTCCATTTCTCACCTGTATTTCCATTCTGGTTCTGATTGGCTTCTTTGTCTGGTTCACTCCTTACAGTGTTAGATAGCATGTACAGCCTCCTTTCAGGGTTCATGTTTCCAATCTTTTATCACCTGGAATTTCTTCATTTACCGTGATCTATCCCCTGTCATACTAACTCGTTAAGCTGGCATATTTGAACTTATCAATTGAAGGTTTCCATCTCCTGGTGAGGTTTGTTTTTTCTCAGACCCACACTATTTAATAATTGCATTATAATGCTCACTGTAGAGATGGGGTGTTCCATAAGACCACTTATGGCATACCCAATGGGGTATATATATATATATGTGTGTGTGTGTGTCTGTGTTTCTAAATATCAGTTTCACTCAATGGTGACCTATCACTCATGGACTTCCTGAGTAAAGCAGAAGAGAATTTATGCCCATCCCTACCAAACATTTGATTGAATAAATCAGCATCAGTCTGCTTTTCAAAATAGGAAATCATGACACCCATTGCACTTTCATCAGTTTGACATTCCTCCCAACTCTCCACTGCATTTACTTCCCCTGTTTTTTTTCTCCCAGTGGAGCATGGGAGTCCTTACCATTGCCCAGTTCCAGTCGTTGGGTTGGTGGACTATGGAGGCTTCCTTCTGAGTGAGTTTAGAAATTTACTTTACCATACATACTCATGATTATAAACTTTTTGAGAAGAGGGCAAAGCTTGTTACCTTCCTTCCATTTCCCCTTGATGTTTATTCCCAGGTAGACGATTGTCAGTTGGAGCAGGTCTAGCCTACGCGTGATTCTTCTCGTAAGACTGGGTTCATGAGCACACTGCCTTGTTCCTATGGTTGTGTGCAAATTTCTGTTGCAGGAGGTTTTTTCCCTACTTCTAAGGGACTTTGTCTATTTCGTAATGCCAGCAATAGAACGTACGTACACTATTCATACAGTTAGAGAGAATGTTCCATACCCTTCTCCAGGTGCAGGATGTCTCTTCCCTGCATTTATGGTTGAATGATTTATGATTTCTGCTCATAATACTGGTGACATATAATACCCTGTTCTTACATTTGAATTGAGGCAATGCTACAACCCAATGCCGGGTTCAGTGTGTTGTACTTCTTGCGCCTACAGAGGTTTTGGGAGTTTGTCCAGTTTCAGCCAAAAGTTAACTCCCTCTTTGTAAATCTGGTTGCTTGATGTATGACACTGTTTACCTACGGTTGGGGTTGATGAGTCTATGTAACTCAGTACACTTGCCCTAGCCACTATGTTTATGTTACAGTATATTTGTCTTTATCCTTTTTTTTATGCTGAACCTCTTAATGCTTAACCTGTTACCTACTGTGGCCATTTTTTCTTATCCTGAAAGCAAAATTACATTTGTGAATTGAAAAAATTATAGAGAACTTATCTTTTATTGGATTTCAGATTTTATTTTTGTAAATAGTAGCATAATATTCAATTATTTGTACAAAATTGTATTATTTAATGAAGTTTAAGGAGAAATTTAATTAAAAAAATCCCAAAATACATTTGAGACTATAAATAAGCATCCTCTAAGAAGAAAATTAAAAAAAAAATTTTCTTTGCACTTCAACACTGGTCCTGCCATTTATGATTGGTATCTAAACCTTTTTCTGGTCTGTTTTCTTTATAAAACAGCATTTGGGCATGTTAAACCTCGGTTGTAAAACCTTTAGCCAATCCTAGTCCAAGGAGTCAATTTCAGTACTATGTTATTCCAATTGCTGTATCAGACATTTGACAAATCATAGGATGATAAGCAAAGCACGAGATGAAACGTTGTTTTCTGGATTTTACAATATGAATGTGGGTGGTGCTTATTATAGTAACTGCCATTTTATGCAGAGGTTGTATTTAGTATTAGCCAATATTACTTTTTTATAAGTCTTAGAAAACTTGCTTCTGGAAAAAACTGCATGGGATGTATGTGACTTTTATTATTTTTCTATAGTAGCATAAGTCATGCTGCATCGTATATCTGTTTATATTAATCATTATATTGAAAAATTAACTCAAAAAAGATATATTTTTTGGGAAAGAAGTTGATATTCTTTTGCATTTAAATTTGTAGTTTTAAGTTCAATAACTTAGCATAATTTTATATTTAGTTCATAATAATAATAATATGATTCAGTATTTAGAATAATAAACTTGTGTGATTTGTATGTAATACTACTAGTACCAGTACCACATACGAATTTTATATTTTTCCTTCTTACAATCTTTACTTTGTAATAAGACCCACACTTCTGTTGTTGTTGCTTTAAGATTAGCAGGAATAGTAGAGGGTGGTAGCTGTGCCAATATAGGTGGTGCAATACTATTGGTGGAGAGTAGTCACATGATATGTACATGTTCAAAAATGGCAGGAAATTGATGGGGTATATAGACTGGGGAAATGAGTGCAAACTTTTGTAAGTGTCTATCGGAAATACATTTTCAGTGTAAGAAAAATGTAAACTTTCTTGTGCAGACTTCCAAACCTTATACCTATTACAGGTATAAAGAAACTAAATAAAAGGAGTTATGTGTGTAGGCTTCTAAATTGTAAACCTATTATATATATGTTATATATATATAAGCTAAATAATAATATTGTGTGTAGGCTTCCAAATGTTAAGTCTAATACACATACATAAACATTTTTTGAACACATAACTCTATAATTCTTGATAAAACATACAGAAAAAAATTGCATATGCTTAATACATGGGTACAGTGATGGAAGTTTCTCTTGTAAAGTTGATTTATTGTACATCGTTTTCAAGGAGAACAGTTGTTTGAAAGATGTACTGATTCTTATTCTTGTGACAGATTAAACAATTTTTATTTTTAGATTTTCCTCGTCTTCTTGTATACTTGCTGAAAGTTATTTGGCAGTCTTTGATTGTACTGTACACTTTGTTTTCTTTGAGACGGCCAGGTTATGTACTTGTACAGGTAGGTAAGGTGGTATTTTTGTAACAACTATTGAAATGTTTTAGTTTTGACCTGAATGTTGTAAATTGAGAGTTAGTTACACAAATGTTTTTAAACTGTAAAGAGATTGAGCTTAGCCTTAGTTTGGTCTGAGTGAAAACAAAAATCAGGATTTTATGGTCCTTTGTTTGTAATAACTTGAAAGAGAGAGAGAAATAAGAGTCAAAACTAAGTTTGAGTCATGAAAAACTGCTAAGTATAATATCACACCATAGGCTGTTGATTTATTGGATGTCTGCACCAACTACTAACCCCATTAAAATGCACAATTTTTTGTGTATTTTTGTTATTTTACATCTTTCCTGAATTTTTCTAACTTATTTTTTTTTATCTTTCTTAGAAGATTGTTTATATTTCTGTAATGAGAACCGTTAGAGTAAATGGCTCAAAAGTATGGGGTAATTTGCTGTCGAAAGGAGGTACTCGGTAGAAAAATAAATATGATAACAGCTTTAAGTCTTTCAGCATGGGCTCGGTCCCTGGGACTGACCTTGTAACCATTTTGTGCTTGTTATAGTTTTCATGCTATAACTTTTAAATTAGTTAGTGAATATTAATTAAATTTGACAGATTATCAGTAAACATTACAATGCTTTCATATGCAAAATATCAATTTTTTTTTTTTTATTAAGTCTTAAGGTTTGTTAAGCAATGTTTTCCTCATGCCTTTTTTTTCTTATCCAGTATGCAAAGTAATTTTCCTTCTAAGATAAAAAATACTTTTATGCATCAGAAAATTTTTAAATTTCACATGTGAAATCTTTATAATGTCCAAATAGTTATCAAATATTTCTTAAGGAAAAAAACTTTATATTTTATCTGTTATTTTCACTAATGAATCTCTGTACGGGTTTGGTAGATTTGACCGAT